TAGATTCTGAACGTAAAGTGTAAGCATCAGAAGTTTGAAAAATAAATAAATCTTGCAGGTAAGCAGAGCTCTGATTGTTAAATATTTTGTACAAGATACATTTGTGTAAAGTTACTAAATCAAAAATAGATAGCCAGCCTAATTTTTCAAATAATGCCTTAGATGAAGCATCAGGGGCAGCATCAAGAATAATTCTAGCGGCCCGTTTTTGGAGCTTATGAATTCTCTCCAAGTAACTAGCTGGTGCATTACCCCAGACCGTCAGACAATAATTAATAGAAGGCAGGATAAAGGCATTGTAAAACAGTTTTCTAGTTTTCAGAGGAAGAAATTTCTTGATTTTTCGCAAGGTATATAATTTATATGTTAAAGATTTGCAGACTGAGTCAACATGGTTGTGAAAATTTAGCGTTTGATCTATATGTACCCAAAGTAGTTTTTCTGTTTCAACATTGTCAAGGTGTTTGTCAGAGACATGTAAATTGAGATTTGGATTATTTAATTTCGATTTTCTTTGTTGAGTTCCCATCAGCATACATTTTGTTTTATCAACATTTAAAACCATTTGATTTTCTAAACACCAATTTTCAATATTTACTAAGTCAGAATTTAGAGCTGTTTCAATACTCAATATATTTTTCTCATAAACATGCAGAGTTGCATCATCAGCAAACATATCAATTTTTGTATGACATATATGTAAGGGAAGGTCATTAATATACAACAAAAACAATAAGGGACCTAATATTGATCCCTGTGGCACTCCTGCTGTGACAGGTAAGACATCAGAAGAAGATGTACCAATTTTAACGCATTGTGTCCTGTTATACGAGTGAAACCACTTAATTGACAATTCATCAAAGTTGTAATTCTTTAATTTATCTATAAGAATGTCATGACTCACTAAATCAAAAGCTTTGCTGAAATCCAAAAATGTTATGCCTATGAGATTACCTTGATCCATAGCATGCAACCAAGCATCAGTTAATTTAGTAAGTGCTGTTTGACAAGAGTGAAATTCTCTGAATCCAGATTGAGATTTTGTTAGAAGATCAAAAGTTGAGGTGAAATCTCGCATTTGGTTTGCTATGTGCTTTTCAATTAGTTTAGATAATGTTGGTAGTATAGAAATGGGACGGTAGTTACCGGGGTCTGCTTTGTTGCCCTTTTTGTATACAGGGGTGACTTTTGCTTGTTTCAACTTCGATGGAAAAATACCATTACTGATACTAGCATTAATTAAATGAGTGACTGATTTACCAATGATACTAGCTGATAGTTTTAGGAGACGAGGTCCTATGAAGTCAATGCCTGCCGATTTATTGACATCAAGCCCGTTCAACAAATTAACTACATTTTCACTGATTGGTGTAAGGCTAAAAAAGTTTTCATTACCAAGTTTAAATTTTGTGAATTGTTTTAACAATTCTCGGTTAAATTTACAGTTTGGAAGATTAAGTAAAAGTTTACTTGAAATTCGTAAAGTGTTCATTAAAGATATTAGCAATTTCTTGTGAATTGTTTGTTTCTGAGTCATTATGAATGATATGGGTAGGAGTAAAAGTTTCAGAATTAGATGCCAATTGATTAAGATATCCCCACATTTCTCTAGGATTTGAACTATCTTCGATGGCTGATCTGTAATACAAAGATTTTGCATTGTCAATCAAGAGTACAACTTTATTTCTCCATGCTCGGAAATTTTCAAAATTCCCCTTATAGTGGTAAAAATCTCGTAAATGTCTAGCTTCATTTATTTCCTTCGTTAGCCATTTTGGTCTAGTTTCACTTTTAACTCTTTTACATTTAACTTTGGCATGTCTGTCAAGGACATTATTAAACATTTTGTAGAAAGTATTAAGAATGTCATTAGGATCATGTAATTTTGCAAGACTATCAAAATTTTCATTTTTTAAGTCAGACAGGAAATTTGATTCGTTAAAGTTTTTGAAATCACGATATATAATTTCTATGTGTTTGTCTCTACGTTGCATGCAATTAGATTTCCGGGTTGCACAAATAGGGTAATGGTCAGATAAGGATATTGGGGGTACATTTACTTCACATATGTTATCTGATATGGTAGTGTAAAAGTGATCAATGAGCGTACAAGAGGTGTTAGTAACTCTAGTGGGTGCATTTATTACTTCTGTTAGTCCAAATTCCTCTAAAGCAGATGTCCAGCATCGCGGGGGGTCTTTGAATAAATCAATGTTGAAGTCACCTGTAATAATAATTTCACTGTCGTCACAGCAGGAGGCGAGGTTTATCTCCCTTGCAAAATCCTCTACCCAGCAGGAGTGGCAGATGGTTGACGGTAGACAGAGCAGTAAAAAATAGGTTTAGAATTTTTTAAGATTGATTTCTAGCCAAATAGTTTCAATATTACTTACCTCAAAATCTGTTCTACGTTTATAAGTAATATCATTTGAAATGTACACAACAATTCACCCACCTGACTTAAAACTTCTATCCTTTCTCTCAAAAGCAAATCCACTAATATCTAAACCCGAGTCACAGAAATTATCATTTAAGAATGTTTCACAGAGCCCTAAAATATCAAGAATTGTCGACGGAATTGTCTGAATTGTCGACGGATTTTTCCGTTATTTCCCGATCATGACAAGGAGCACACGGCGGGTGTGACCGGTCGGCAGGGGATGCTCACTCCTCCATGGCACCTGATCCCACCTCTGATGTTTGGAGGTCCGTTTTGCTCTGCTCCTATTTTGTATTGTATAATGGACTTTTGAGCTTGAATACTGTTCGTTATCTCCATATATTTCATTGTCTTGAAGCAACAATTTGATTTCGTCAATTTTGGGTATTAGATGACATACATTTTAAGTTTCCAAAACGTAAACCTCTTTTAACCAGTCCAACTCTGTGGTGTCTTTTCTTTCGAGCTCAATGGGATATATCGAATCAACGTAGGAATTAAAATGAATATTGTTATTTGATAAAATATCGTCATTTACACCTAGCACTTATAGTCCACTGTTTCCAATATTCGTCACCGGAAGTCCAAACCCAAGGGAATACCGGTATGCATTAACAGGAAACATCTGTCATTTCCTAGAAAAAAAATTCAAGATTGTTACACTGACAATATCATTTTAAAAAGTAAACTAAAAACACAAAATCAAACTTATAAAAAAATATCTAAAACGTGGAAAAAATCTCTGAGAGTAATGAAAGTTAAAAATATGAGATTTCTTGAGTAAATGGATCTTTAAGAGTAATTAATGCACACATTCAGATATCTGTACTAGATAATAAACGAAATATATTTGCATAAGATATTTATCACAGCAGAAATTGGAAACTATTCTTCAAAGATTTGAACAAAGTTTTAAGTAAAAAGAAAAATATGTATTAAATCTGAAACATTTTTCATAGTGTTATTCTATTCATATTTTGTACTTTCAATATCAGAAATTTCGCACGAATGCGAATTGTTTCTTTAAAATGCATTATCAAAGATGAAGTTTAAAATTCAATAGAATTGGCATGTTAATTAATAAGCTGAAGATCTAGAAATTTTAAAAGGATAGGGGGAAAGGGTGGATCCATGATGTTTTTTTTTTTTTCCAGTAGGGGTTATCAATACCTTAACACTATTTCACATAAAAATAAGAAAGAGAAATTAGTTACATGTAAGCTGTATACAAACATCCATTCCTTTCTTCAGTTCTTAAAAACTTATTGCCCTAACCAAAAAAAAAAAGAAAAAAAAATTAATCTAGGTCATTGTCTTTTTCAAAATGAGCGTAAGTTAAATTAATTAAAAAAATCAAAACACATTCTTGTCAAGGTTTTTTTTTTTTTTTTTTTTTTTTTTTTTTTTTTTTTATTTTATTTTTTTTAGCAAAAACGAGCTTTTAAATATCCCTGTCGTCCTTCTGGTGACATTGTCCATGCATATATGATTCTGAATAATTGCCAGGACAGACCCTTGTGACATCAGCACTATTTCTATGAAGAGTGAAAATCTAATATTTCTCCCTTTCCTTAGTATTGATTAAAAAAAAATGTGCTATACGGGAAATTTAAATTCCTTGTTTTATTTAAACTATACGAACTTGAATCACGAGTGTCATGAATAATTCCACATTTTCTCTTAGACGGAAGCCACCTTCGCGTTAATTGACGACGGGGCTACGAAATTTTGAATAAAAGCAGAGAACGTGTGTTCATGTCGTTATTTTTCATCAACTGAACATGTAACATGCAATATTATAGGGTAATTGAACTTATATTGGTGAATATTGTCACGATTTGGCTGCGCAAATGCACGACATTGCGAGTGCCTTTGTACAGCCAGTAAGTGCCAATATTCACCAATATACGTTCAATATCTTCTTTATTAAAGATTAAATAGTTTCCCGTTAATTATATTATTATTTAATTTAAATAACTCATTGATGAGATTTTTTCTAATTTCAATATTTAAATTAAAACTGTGTAATATCAGCGTCTGTTCTAGAAGTGTTCAATATCACACACTACCAAGCGTTGATTTGCTTATTGAGGCTTATTGGTACTATATTATTAATCAATTATGTGTGAAAAAAGAAAAGAAAAAAGATCTTACCTAGCTGTTTCTACCCATCATAAATATTGCCATTAAGCGGTTTATAAGACGACATGTTTTGATTACAAAAAGGGTCTTCGATACTGAACGCTCGCATTCGGAGTGTTTCGGGGAATACTCATATACATTTTGGAAACTCAGAGTGAAATAAAACGTCAAGATACTGAACGCTAAAATTCTCTAGACATTTAGCATTTTTTTCTATCATAGATAACGTCAAGATACTGAACGCTAAAATTCTCTAGACTTTAGCATTTTTTTTCTATCATGATAGATAGATAGATAGATAGATAGATAGATAGATAGATAGATAGATAGATGATAGATAGATAGATAGATAGATAGATAGATAGATAGATAGATAGATAGATAGATAGTGTGTGTGTATGATTGTTACCTTACTCACTTGAAGTCCAAATGTTTTCATAAGGATGTCGAGTATAAGACGACCCTCTAAGGCATGCATGTCCAGGTCCTCTTCGCCATCTTCTTCTGCAGAAGCAAAGTCATTCGGGAGGACGATAGTTGGGTGGTGAGGTGGCTGTTCTACATCACCTTGAATAACGTTCAGCACATCCTTTTCCTTACTAATGCTGAGATGCTCAAGCTGCATTTTAAGAAACTCGCCATTATTATCATCACAGTCCAACTGGTTCTCATGGTAATAGAGTAATTTGAATTTTGTTCTTTCGATAACATCTTTGTGATATATTGTAATTTTGTGTCCTGGTTTACAATCATCTAGATTCTTTGTGACGTTCCACTTTATGAACAATGACTGTGTTAGTACTTGTACCAACTTCTCTGCAAGTGGACATCTTTCTTCACAAATATGCAGAATGTGGAAATCTATCATGTTTTCTTCATCATAGCTTTCCCAGGCTGGAACGCATTTTCGGCATTGTAGGAACCTCATCTTTGTTTCCTCAAAATTTCTATTTTCTAATGAGTATGAGGCTCCCTCCATGTACATCCGAAATAAGAATTGTCTAGATGGGATGTTTGGGTCTTTGTCTGTAATTAGTTTATTTAATATACCAATGGCATTTTCATAATCTCCAGCAGCTTTCAAATTTTCAACCATATTTTGAAAAACAGCTGCAGTTTTAGGCTCACATGTCGAGTAAAGCTCGTATGCCTTTTTGTACTCCTTTGACTTTTCATATAAACGAGCAAAGTTATCTTTCCTGCTTTCTTCTCCCAAGTGCAAGCAATCATATTTGTTCATTGTTTCTTCTAACTCCCGGATGCAAGAAGATACACTTTTCAAATCTGGAAGAGCATCTATATACAAAGACAAGATATCCAAAGCTCTATTTAAGGCATCTACTGCATTGATTATGTCATTTTCATTCTTACTGGTTTCAAAAAGATCAAATCTACAAAATGCTTGTTGTTCATATGCAAAAAGCAGTTGAATTTGGTTACTTGTTTTTCCTTTGTAACTGTTTGTTATGTACCTAAAATTCTCAAGAGCTTCATCACTTTTTTCAAGCATTCTCTGAACGAGTCCTAAGTCATATCGTGCTTTATCAAAAGAGACGTCTAAGAGTAAAGCTTTTTCTAGATTTTGTTCAGCATTCAGCAGACGGTCATCTCCTGGATATGGCGGTGGATGTCTAACTGATTTCATTTTCGCCCTCATTTGTCCGTGACTCGTGTCTCCAATTAATGTTTTATCCAAGTTGTTGTTCTTCATATTTGGACTTCTCACTTTCAAAGATTTTTGTCTTGGCATATTTTTCCGATGTGAAGGTTTTGCTTTCTTTTTTTCACTATATTCTAGTAAAACCATTTTTTGAAAAGTTAAACCAAGATGATGATAAGCAATGGCTGTTTCCCGAATGTTCAGGGATTTTTCAAGTATTTCTCTTGATTTCTCTAGATTTTTCTGATATCTCAAGTGCTGTCCGTAGCGCTGGAGTGCATGGTAGGACTTGGGGTTGACTTTAACCGCCTCTTCAAAGTATTCCATGTGATTCATATCCCTATATCTGTTTTGTTTGTAGCGATTATTGTAAATTATCAATCCAATCTCACACAATGATCTGGTTTTCAAGTTTTTCGAAGAAGTGTTTTTAATAACTTTCATAAATAAATCAAACGCCTCTCTATCCTCCTCTACCAACTGTGCATCAGTCTTATTCTGAATGGCAAGTAAATGTGTTTTTCTTCTTAGTGTCAATGCAAAATAAAACTGCCAGCAATCTACAGTTGTAGAGATTTTTTCAACAGATTCGCGGAACATCCCAATTGCTTTTGTTGCACAAAACGGACCGAGTTTTGAAATGCATACAGCTAATTCTGCTTTTGCACTATATTTGAGTTTTTTGAAATCATCTCTTTTTGACAATTCTTTAAACTGTCTAAGAAACTTTCTGGATTTAACTACATCTCCTTTTCCTTTATGAAAGTGATAAAAATTACAAATGGTTACTATATTTTTCGTTTCTCCTAACGATGAGATCTTACTTCCCAGTTCACGGGCCTTTGTAGCTAGCTCCATGGCTCTTTTTGTTTTGTCACATTTCCAGTATAGAAAGGAAACAAAATTGTGAAAACAAATAGTTTCCTCAATGGTGTCATATCCATGCTCAATATCTTTTTCGAGCTTTTTTAATCTCTCCTTAAATTTTTCATGAGTGATCAATTGAATTTCTGTTTCTAGAGAGAATGAAGACAGCTTCCCAATTTCTTCCAAGCATGACTCATCGTCTTCCTCATTATCATGAAACATCGTCACCTGAAACATGATTTTAAGAAATAATTGAATTTCTGGTGAGAAGTACGAACAAACAAAACAAAATCAAAAAACAACAAAAGCAAACAATAACTACATCAAAAGCAAAAGCGAAAGAGATAGCAATAAGAAAAACAAAAACAGAAAAGAAAACTAGAGTGTCTTTTTGTTGTTTAAATCCCTCTTGAGAATTTTTCAATCATATGGAGACACCACCACTTACCGGTGGAGGGTTGCACATTTATACCTATACTCGGCACTCAGGGCCATTGAGGAGTGAGGGATCTTTTTCGTGATAGCATCTACTGCGACACGGGACTTTGGTTTATACGGTCCCATCCGAAGCACCGGTCTCGCGCAGTGTGATTTGAACCTGCGACGTTAGAATTAACTCGATCTTACACCGCGAATCTAGAACAAACGCTCTAACCACTGCGCCATGCAGGCGACTAGAGGGGACTTTTCAGATTCCTTGAATTAATTATACAATTTGTATTACTGTATGTATATTTAAAAAAGAGCAAATCCTGAATTCATTACACAACTTCAGTAACCCTTGTGAAAATTAGAAATTTATTTTTTATCGCCAGGAGTTTCACTGTTCAGAGTACAGACCGTATCCAAATGATTACTCATATGGAGACACAACCACTTGCTGGTGGAGGGCTGCACATTTAGACCTATACTTGGCACTTAGGATCATTGAGCAGTGAGGGATCTTTTTCGTGCCCGCATATACTGCGACACGGGACTTTGGTTTATACAGCCCCATCCGAAGGACCAGTCTCCTGCAGTGTGATTTGAACCTGCAACGTAAGAATTAACTCGATCTTACACCGGGAATCTAGAACAAACGCTGTAACCACTAGGCCACGTGGGCGACTTGAGGGGACTTTTCAGATTCCTTGAATTAATTATACAATTTGAATTGCTGTATGCATATTTAAACAAGAGGCCCAGGGGCCACATCGCTCACCTGAGCACTATGGCTAGAAAAAAGCAGAAATCAGTTCAGTCTTGAAAAGTTGAAAAGTTTAAATATAAAAGTGGTGGTGGTGGGGGGGGGGGGGGGGGGGTAATGAATTGAACAAATTTGAATCTACATTATCTGAGGATACTTCCATTTAAATATGACCAATCATGGCTTTGCTGTTCTTGGGTAGAAGATTTTTAAAGATTTAACCTATGTATTCCTATGTAAAACTTTGATCACCCATTGTGGCCCCACCCGATCCCTAGGGGTCATGTTTGAACAAACTTGAATGTACACTATCTAAGAATGCTTCCATATGAATATGAATATGCATATCATGGCTTTGCTGTTCTTAAGAATTAGTTTTTTAAAAAGATTTTTACTACATGTTCCTATGTAAAACTTTGATCACCCATTGTGGCCCGACCCTATCCCCGGGGGTCATGATTTGAACAAATTTGAATCTACACTATCTGAGGATGCTTCCTTGTAAATATGACCAATCATGGCTTTGCTGTTCTTGAGAAGAAGATTTTTAAAGATTTTTCCTATATATTCATATGTAAAACTTTGATCGCCCATTGTGGCCCCACCCGACCCCCAGGGGTCATGATTTGAACAAATTTGAATCTACACTACCTGAGGATGCTACCATATAAATATGACCAATCATGGCTTTGCTGTTCTTGAGAAGAAGATTTTTAAAGATTTTTCCTATATATTCATATGTAAAACTTTGATCGCCCATTGTGGCCCCACCCGACCCCCAGGGGTCATGATTTGAACAAATTTGAATCTACACAACCTGAGGATGCTTCCACATAAGTTTCATATTTTCAAGCACAGTGGTTCTTGAGAAGAAGATTTTTTAATGATGCTATTAATTTTCACAAATTTTTAATTATCTCCCCTTGGAAGAAGGCGTGGTCCTTCATTTGAACAAACTTGAATCCCCTTTACCCAAGGATACTTTGTGGCAAGTTTGGTTGAAATTGGCCCAGTGGTTCTGGAGAAGAAGATGAAATTGTGAAAAGTTTGCAACGACGACGACGACGACGACGGACAACGGACAAATTTTGATCAGAAAAGCTCACATGAGCCTTCGGCTCAGGTGAGCTAAAAAGAGCAAATCCTGAATTCAGTGCACAACCTCAGTAACCCTGACATTTAGGAATTTATTTTTTATCGCCAGGAGTTTCACTGTTCAGAGTTCAGACAGTATCCAAATGGTCTTGGTTCAGGGTAAGACTCGTGACTTTTTCATCATTAATCCTAAATTATGCCTAACGCTTGACTAAAAATTTAACACTTTGTAAGGCTGTAATCCTTACCTTTCCTAAAGACATATATTTACGGCCATGCCACACCACTTGACTTTCTGGTTACTTTTGGAAACATTTGAGCCAAGTGTAAAGGGTAATGATAGCAAACAGAGATCAATCTCATAAATAGAGTAAAAAACACGGACCTCTGAAAACACCAGAGTTGGAATCAGGTGCCTAGCAGGAGTTTAAGGGTCCTCCACACCCCATGACTTGTGACGTATATCGAGAAAAAACTTTTACTTCCGGTTTTATATAGTTTGTGCACTGACAATTTGACTGGCACCACCTGTAAGAGAGTCTTGTAAATACTTTAGATATAAAGGTTTTGTCAAAGGAAGAGTATGCAGTCAATCGAGAGCGACACCCTGATCATAAACAATGAACACATGGCATGATCACGGCGTGACCGAAAGAAAAAGGTGTCGATTTTTTTTCAATAAAAAACAGCAGGCGTTTGAGTTTTTGTAGCATAATGATTCGTAAATAACAGGTATATCTACTAGAAAACTTTTAAGTTTACTTATACTTTTAGGCTAATAAATCCACTGCGACATTGTAACAGACTGTTGTGAAAAGTTTATATTATTGCACACTGATTTATGTGTTTCAATAATACTTACCTCATTGTGTGTTTATAAATATTGATAAAGTGTGCATTTCTAGTTTTGCTCATTTATATCTGTCCTGTTCAGTTGTCAATAATGACTGAGTTACCTGATTATGATGACGTATGCGGAGACTTAACAAAGTTTTTGAGTCCTGGGTAACAGGAAAGAGAACTCTAAAAAGAACTTTTGATACCACAGATTTTGAAAATAATTTTTCTGAATCAATAAATTTGATTTTAATTCAATTTTTTGTTGTAATTTAATTTATTAATGTTTCTTCTTTACTATCTGGAGTCTTCCATAATTTTTTCTCCATGTTTTTAGAGTAAATGAGTTATTATTTATTTCTTTTACCTTTTATTAATCTCTTTAAAAAATATATTGACTGATAAAATTAAAGTTTTTGTGCTTGTTTTTTGGGCTTAATAATATATTCCAGGAAAACACAAAATGTGTTGTGCTACTTATGAAAACTCGGTGGGGAAAAATCTTAAATCTTATGAAATTATTTTTTTTAAAATCAGTACAGATTATATTTCAATTCTTGACCAGTTTTTAAAGGTTGAAATGCTTCTTAAAAGTAATACTTAGTAATATGAGAACATAAGCTGGGGGTGTGTGGAGGACCCTTAAGCAATTCCCGTCGACCAGTCACACCCGCCGTGAGCCCTATGCCTCAGCTTCAACCAGGCATCCACTTAAATTACCTCAAGCTATAGCTGATGTCTCTCAAATACTTGCGGGTTTATAACGCAGTACAAATCAGAATTTATAGCTACATTTATAACTGGAAGCATCTTCTATCTAACCTTATTATAAGGTAGTCTCAATTTAAATGTTTATGGACATATCTCTGCTTATATAGTGATGTTGTCTTTCCCTTGACATTTATAAGGAATACATTAAAAACAATCCAAGGTGTATTTGAAAAGTGCATGTACATGTAGAAGGAAAGATAAAGGAGGCTAGATGTCAATAGAAACGTTTCTAGTAACGTTATGCCTCAAGATATATCAATAATAAAACGATTTACTTACAGATTTTGCACTAATGAATATATCCTTCACATTATTCAGATGTCTGCATCATTCTGAAGCTATCGATTAAAATAATGTAAGGAAAGAAGAAAGGGAAATTTCGATTATATAATTACCTACAGGTAGCTGAATGTTGAGGTCTCATAATACACTGTGAGGAAACAAATATTTTTCACCGACTTTGCAAGTGTACAAACAATTTACTAGGAGAGGTAAATGATTTAATTTTATTATGCATAAATACACGAGTTTGCATTTTTGTTCGGTGAATGAGTATGCGCAGAAAAAGACACTTATAGTATTCCATAGGGAAAAAGGCTACAAGCTATTTATAGTACTCTGGAATGTTTATTATAACAATCTATTTATAATTCCGAAAACAAAACAATGTAACTTTGTGAACATAAGGAGAAAAATAAAAAAATATCAAAGTTATACGCATTTCAGCTACATGTAATTTAACTGCCAACTGCTCACAGCCACTGTATATAGATGCTTTTTCTTACTGTGTTTGTTTGAATGCAACAATATTACAATACGAAAAAGCATTTGCAGACTCATCTTCTCTAGCCAAGGGTTTCTGATACGCTACTCTCCTCATAAGCTTATGAGGAGAGTAGCGTATCAGAAACCCTTAGCTAGAGAAGATGTTGCGGACTAGGACTTTTTATACAGGGAAAAGAGAATATGCTGTTGAAAACAAAACATTTCTAGCAAAATAACCTAAAACTATTTTGTCGGGGGAGCTGGAATTACTCAATAATATAATATGATATCAAAAATTCATCTCTAGATTTTCTTTATCTGTAGTGAAGGGGGTATGTGTAAAACACGAAACGAGAAACAATGGAATGTCAGATTCAGCATAAAACACCTAATGACCTTAAAATGTCAACAAAGGGGGCAGCTTGTGCCTAAAATGTCAACAAAGGGGACAGCTTGTGCTTTTGATTTCATTTTATTAGATAACATATGCAGCTAGAGTGAAATGAAATATCTAACTTAGGTCAGATTTATCATCGACCCGCACAACTATCTCACACACACAAAAAAATAAAATGTTGACAGATTTAATTAATACAATACTATTACCTGAAAGAAATGCTTATTCAGTTTTTGCTTAAAATAATAATATTGTCACCAAATGATACAATTTTGTACAAACTGGGAATAATCATTTAATCTTCTAATACTTTGAAAAAAAAGGATTAAAAGAGACATTATCAATGTTTTGTTCTTTGTGATTTATTAGTTCTGGTAATATTATTGGTGAAATTTATTGTCAATGTTATTATAGCTTTCCTTACTACATATATAACAAAAATATAAATCTATCATTTATAAATAATTATTTATCAATATTATTTAACTTTTTGTTTATACTTTGATTATGTAAAAATCAGAAAATAATTTGAAGGAATCTGTCTCTTACCAGTTACCTGTGTACTTTTCAGCTGTTGATATTTAATTAAATCTGTCATGACTTTATGGGTTAGCAGTGCAGGATCACTGATAAATATGTCCTATATACCGTATGTTTTAATTTCACTCAGCACTTGTTTTCTAACAAAATGAAATCAAGGCAAAAGCTGCCCCTTGGTTGACATTTTTAGGTCATTGGTTTTTTTCTATATTGTTTCTCGTTTCTCATTTCTCGTTTCTTGTTACTCGTTTCGTGTTTTACACATAGGCCAGACGGACAGACAGACAGACAAGGATAAAATAGTATACCCCCTCTCCTTCGGAGCAGGGGTATAATTATAACCAGACCAGTGGAGATTCCTGAATAATGATAGAATTTATATTAGGTAACATGTACCTACATGTATACGACTTGCACTGTTAAAGTTGAACAAGTGACTGTGTGTTGAATGTGTGATTGTATTTCTACTGTAATTCCTGGTTCTTATATATTGATAACAAATTGTAAACTACGCCCAGCTGTAATTCTAGATTATTTTCTGCCGACAAAAGCAAAACCAGTTACATTTTGTTCAATTCGTTTTAAAGCAATTTTTATTTTTACAAGCAACAAATGAGTAAGCATTTCTAATGCAGTAATTAAATCTGTAAAGACTTCTCGCCTGCTGGGATGGGAGTGCATGCGGGTCACCCAGTCTCTGAAACCCAAAACAAAAAGCCAAAAACACATAAGCTATTCCTATTGTTGACATCTGAAGGTAATGATTGTTTTTTTTCTTCATTTACTCATCCACTTCATTGTCAGTATGGTTCGTACAACAATAACTAGGGTATGTGTAAAACACGAAACGAGAAACAAGAAACGCGAAACGAGAAACAATGGAATGAAATTCAATATACAATAATGTCAACAAAGAGGATGCTTTCATTTTGTTACATAACAGATGCAGAGTGAAATGAAAACATCTAACTGAAGTCAGATTTATCAGCGACCCGCACAACTATCTCATACAGAAAAAAATATAAAATGTTGACAGATTTAATCAATACAATACTATTACCTAAAAGAAATTCTTACTCAATTTTTGTTTATAATAATAAATTTGTCATCAAATGATACCTTCAGTGATAAACTACTTGAATGTATTTCCGCTGGGGTACTATATATATATCTATGTTAGAACTCTAAATCTGTCAAAAAAGAAGCAATTATTATTTTACTACCATAATTCCATGAAAATCTTTGTGATTTAGTAATTTTGGTAATATTATAGGTGAAATTTAATGTCGATGTTATAGTAATAGCTTTCCTAATACTACATATGTATTTTTATATTGAAATATGTTATTAAATGTTTTGTTTATTCTTCAGATCAGATAGTAACATGAGGTGATATGTCTCTTACCAGTTATTAAATCAAGTACTTTTCAGTTTGCTGAAAATCTGTCAAGACTATATGAGTAAGCTGTGCGGGCTCGCTGATAAATCTGACCTCAGTTAGATGTTTTCATTGCACTCAGCATCTCTTTTCTAACAAAATAAAATCAAGGCAAAAGCTGCCTCTTGGTTGACATTTTGAGGTCATTGGTTCCTTTTTTATTCCGTTGTTTCTCATTTCTCGTTTTTTGTTTCTCGTTTCGTGTTTTCTGATTTCAGAACAAATGTTACAAACAGTCAGAAGGTAGTTATTGGGGTATGTGTAAAACACGAAACGAGAAACAAGAAACAAGGAACGAGAAACAATGGAATGTCAGATTCAGCATAAAACACCTAATGACCTTAAAATGTCAACAAAGGGGGACAGCTTGTGCTTTTGATTTCATTTTGTTAGATAACAGATGCAGAGTGAAATGAAATATCTACATGTAACTAAGGTCAGGTTTATCATCGACCCGCACAACTATCTCACACACACACACAAAAAATTAATAATAAAATGTTGACAGATTTGATTAATACAATACTATTACCTGAAAGAAATGCTTACTAAGTTTTTGCTTAGAATAATAATGTTATCATCAAATATACAATTTCATTGATAAACTAATTTGATGTATTTCCGTTAGGATACTATATCAGAATATTATAATTATTTATAAGTAATATATTTATATTTTTGTTATATATATGTAGTAAAGAAAACTATTATATAAACATTGACAATAAGTTTCACCAATAATACATGTATTACCAGAACTACTAAATCACAAAGAACAAAACATTATAATTATGTCTCTTTTAATCTTTTTTTTTTTCAAAGTATTAGAAGATTAAATGATTAGTCCCAGTTTTTCTTTTAACAATTTTTTATGATCAGTTTGTAATAATGATTTATATTGTGTGTCACGATAATTTTTTCAGCATCAAATGCTTCATCTCTCTTTAAAATACATGTTGGGTTCACATGATAATGAACGAATTCCCTCTTTACAGACATTTTTAACTGACCATATTCATTAACATAGTTTCTGAATTCCTTTTTGACCAACACAATGTCATTTGGTGGACAAGGGACATCCGTTGTAGATATTCGAAATTTTTTGCCACAACCATAACACACCATTATTTTTGTATTTTCTAGAAACCTAAAAATATAATTGTTCTCTGTATCAACTGGAAATGGGTCACACACAGAAATATTGTCAGATAATCTCAAAGCTGGTTTCTTCTTGCTCCATCCTGATTTTTCATTTGGCTTTTTACCAGATGACTTAGGTAATTGTGAATTTATAGACACTGTCATATTATTACTACTGTTTTTTGACTTTTTACCCCTGAACTGCAAATAATCTGTTAGCATTCCAATTGTTTCACCAACAGCAACTGAATGGTGACAGATTTTGTGAAGCTTATATATATGACATTCACACTGAATATTGCCTGTCTTGGAATTAGATTCTACAAAATAACACTTCTTAGGGTTTGAGAGACTCGAAACTCTACGCGCAGATGGATACTCTGGGATATACATTATTGCATGATCTTTCTGCAGCAAGGTTTTTGATTTTTCCCAAATATCCTCCAAAATAGTTTCCTGAACATCAGTAATACCAGAGTCATTTAATTAATGAACAACTAATATTTTGAAGAATCTGTCCTTGTTCTGAAACACGCATATTCGGATGGAAAATTTCTTGCATGGAACTACATGCATTAGTACTCTGGTTTAAATGTTCCTATTTTGAACTATCCTGATTTGAAGTTTCAACAATACTAGAATTCAAAACTTTTGCTATATGTTTTTACCGTTCAGTTTGCCCCCAAGTGGACCATACTGACAAAGGCACTTCAAACTTTTTGTAAGAATCTTTAAATCTTAAATTTCCTTGCTGCACAATAGCAAGTAAAATTTGATTTTCTTGTGTACTCACATACTGCTTAAGTTCTTTGATAAAGCTAGGAAGTGGTTGATTTTTTCCAGACACTTTCTGTAGAGCACTATTCATACCTTCATTGTCATTAGTAGTGTAGACTTCCAAATTGCGTAGTCCTGCGTCGGTTCTTACTGTTTGTATCATGTGATGCTTAAATGTATGCGACAAATGTTTTTTAAACCAAGGCCAAAATCCAAAAACAAGAGACTCCCATTTTTCATTTAATGTCTCCAACTTTTAATCAAATTCAATATGGGTAAAACAG